AAATCAAAACTGTAATGAAATACCAACTCACAGCCATTATGATAAGCTACTATCAAAAAAATAGAAAATAATAAATGTCAGTGCGGATTTGGAGAAAATAGAATGCTTTCACAGTTAGTGGAAGTGGAAAATTGTTCATGTGTTACAGAAACAGTATGGCAGTTCCTCAAAAAATTAAACATAGGTTTACTATATGATCCTTCAGTTCCACTTCTGATCAGATACCCCAAGACATTTAAAACAGGGTCTAAAAAAGATGTCTGTACTCCCATGTACATAGCAACATATAGCACAACTAAAAGGTAGAAGCAAACAGAATACTCTTTGGTGGATGAATGAATAAGCAAATTGTGTTATAAAAATATAATGGACTCTATTATTAAGCCTTAAAAAAGATGGAAATTCTAATATATGCTACGACAAATTCTGATACATATGCTACATGAAACTTGAAGACACTATGTTAAGTGAAATAAGACAGGTACAAAAAGATAAATGCAATATGACTCTACATATATGAGTCACTTAGTCAAAATCAGAGACAAACAAGAGAACGGTTGTTTCCAGGGCTGGAGGGAGAAGGGGATGGGAGTTATTGTTTAATGGGTACAGAATTTCATTTACTAGATGAAAAAAGTTTGGAAATGGATGGTGGTTGTCATGGTTTAGCTCTGGAATGTTCTCCAAAGGCTCGTGTGTTGAAGTCTTGGTCCCCAATGTAGCAATATGCAGGATGAGGCTTTGGGGAAATGCTTGAATCATGAGGGGTCTGATATCATCAATGGATTAATCCACTGGTGGACTTGGGTTGAAGGGATAATTGGGAGGTGGGAGAAACTAGGAGGTGGGACCTAGTTGAAAAAAGTAGGTCACTGGGGGCATGCCATGAAAGGGTGTATCTTGTCCCTGCCCCCCCCCTCTATCTCTCTCCCTCCTTCTCCCTCTCTCTCTTTCTCTATCTCTCTCCCTCCTTCCTGGCCACCATGAGGTGAGCAGTTTTGTTCCACTACTCATTCCTCACTATGACATTCTGCCTCACCACATACCCAGAAGCAATGGAGCCAGGTGACCATGGACTGAAACCATGAATCCAAGTAAATTTTTCCTCCTGTAAGTTGTGTTTTACAGATATTTTTGTCACAGTGACAGAAAGATGACAGTCAACAGTGGTGATTTATACCATTGAACTATATACTTTTAAGTGGTTAATATGGTATATTTTATTTTTTTAAGTTGTAGATGGACACAATATTTATTTTATTTATTTTTATGTGGGGCTGAGGATTGAACCCAGAGTCTCACACATGCTAGGTAAGTACTCTAGCACTAAGCTACGACTCCAGACCAAGATGGTATATTTTAAGTATATTTTACCACATGAAGCATTTGGAAAAAATAAGAACAGGAGAATCTATGGCTTCTTGGAGAAGTAGCTGACTCCAGGGCTAGGGTAAGGGAGGTGCAAGATGAGCCTGTAACATCTTGTGCCAGAAGTTAGGAAGTGCTCAAAGAAAAATGGGGACAATTCCTAAGGACACGGGACTGCTTGAAGTTTCTTTCACTGGTCAAATCTTTGATATATTGAACATCAAATCAAATAATCTTAGGAAAGAATTGCAACCCACTGGCAAAGAAATCCATATCTTCATTGATACAAATAAATGGGAGTAGAGCTGAACCTGGATCATGATCCTGGTATCATGCACCTGGCCAGATTTCAGAGTCACTATGAACTAAGAACTGCTGTGTGTACCTTTTGTTTTCCTCCTTCTTGAGTTGAGAATGTCCATACAATTATCCTACACCTGGGCCAGTAATGTATGTTGGGTATATAAGAGGTAGATGGTGTGTCTCCTGACCTTACAGGTCTTCAGATCAAAGGAGTGGTACTGGTACTCAGGAGTTATGCCCAAGGTCCTTGACCTAAGGAGCTATATCCACACTGGGACCTGATTCAGATCACAAGATTCTGATTTTGAGCTGATGATGTCATGGGATGATATTTGAAGGTCTTGGAGGAGATGAGTGTATTTTGCATTGAGTGTGATGTGAATTGTTGTTGGGGACCGCAAATCAAGTCAAGATGGCGCCTGGCAGTTTGCCAGTAGGAGTGGTTTGTGAGGCAAAGCCACCGAGCCATTAAGATGGTAGGGATTCCTTATTGGCTGATTGCTGTAACTGGATGATGCTAATTGAGTCAAGCTGTGTGTTAATCAGTTAGGTATATATACCTCTGCTGTTTTGCAATAAAGTGGCTCATGCTACCTTGGGTGCCTGCTACCTTGAGTTCCGGCTCAGTTCCCACTGAGTTCCTTCGCAATAAAGCAGTTCCCGCTTCAACCTTCAAGTTGCTTGTCACCTCCCGGTTATTTTGCCCAGCCGGACTGCGGCAAATTGTGATCAGAGGGCAGGGTGTGACAAATTATATTTTCCAAAATATCAGCTTTAACAATATTTCCATTCACAACTTATTGTGTGACTTTGAGACTTACTACATTCTTATGTGATTTATATCCCATTGAGAGATGGGTTCTATGTTCCCTCCTCTTGTCATTGGATAGGCCACTGTGATTTTTTTCAATGAATAAGTGTATGATTCAGAATACAACTTCTCTATTGTTCACTGAAATACTTGAAACCTTCAACTACCAAGTAAGTGAGTACTGAAACCACCATGTGGTGAGAAATTCAAACTAGCTCTAAGACAACATGATGAGAGAGGGTTGTCCAGCTAGCCCCTGATGCTTGAGTTCCAGCCACCATGTGACTGCAATTACATCCTGAGCCAGAAGCACCCAACTGAGCTCCTACTGAACTCCCATCCCACAGAAAAAGAGATAATTAAATGGTTGTTGTCTTACACCAACAAGTTTGAGTGATTCATTTTGTAGAAATAGATGACTGGCACAGCTTAAAATGTGAACATGTGAAGAGTCTAGGTACTGGTATATAGTGATTCTTTGTGGAATGGTCCTCCACTTTGTAGGGATAAGAGGATCTTTGCCTCTTCTCAGAGTTACTCAGGAAGTCTGTACCTCTCAACTCTTCATATACAACCATTGAATTGAGCTGGAACTTCAGAAAAGGGAAGGAAGTAAAAATAATCTGAGCTTGAATTTTCTCCCTTGTGTTTCTTTAGAGCTCCCAGAAACCTTGTAGGTGCAGTTAGGAACAGCTTCAGTTTTTCACCTTTGTTCCTAGGAATAAGTGTAGCCTGGGTTTCTACTCTCTTAATCACTGATTTGTCTTGAAACTTATTGTCCACTAGAACCCTCTCCAGAGAATGGCAGTAGATGGGAGGAGACGGCATAGATTCAGTATGTGCTGTGTCCCTCTTTTCTTACCAATTTGCTCCTTCTTTTTCCTGGAGAAAATGGACTCTTTTGGGGTGCTTTGATACCAATAGTTCTGAGGTGGAATTTGTAGGAGCTAGATAGAGAGACTCAGGGGAGAATGCCAGGTTGCAAGTTTATACTTCTGAGTCACTTGAAGAGAATGTAGCATCTCTGGTATGTCAACAAGCCCAGCCAAATCCAGTGATGTTCACCAAGAGGGTTTGATGAGGGGTGGGTTAGGAAATGATAGAAAGGTAAGGTGTGAAGAGAGTTTACATTGATTAGAGAGGGCCACAGAGGAGGTCATTACCCAGTGAGGAAATCTTCCTCTGTGGAAACATTTGGGATAGTGTAGATGCAAGGATTCATGAAATTGAGAATGCCAGTCTTGATTAATAGGGGACTAGGGTCTTGGCATTAAGATTGAGAGCAAAGGACTCAGAAGAATTATAATAGTAGCAGCCATACTTAAAGACAAAATATGTATATCAATAATAAGGAAAATGATGACTGAGAGTCTGAGGTGGTTAGGCCAGAAAGAGTGAGAAAGAATGAAAATCTTTGTCTTCTCTTGATTCAATTACATAAACATTTTTTTTTTTTTGGAACTCTACAATGTGTCACATTCTGTGCTAGATGCTGAGGGGGCTGGATGAGTAAGACAGAATTCCTGCCCACCAGGGAGAGTCTAACGGGGAGACAGACGTGTAAACAAAGGACAGTACTGTAAGATGTGTGTAATAAAAAAAGTATATACAAGGTAGGTATGGAGGTGACATCCAGACATCCGTGGGAGTCAGGGTCAAGGTCTCAGATCCAGGAGCCATCTGTACCAAGAAAATCCAGAAAATGAACACAGAATGAGGGTGGGCATCTGGAACCCTGGGAAGAGCAGTGGGGAGGAAGAGAAGGAAGAGGAGAGATGGAGAGGATAAAAACAGACTTAGAGTGGGAAAATCGAACCAGCAGATCAAAGAAGGAGCTAGTTGTGAGGAAGTCGAATCTACATCGGAGAGTGGGCCAGAGGAAGAAACAAAAGTCGTTTACAAATTCATTGGGAGGACAACACTCTTGGTAAAAACTCGTGTGATTTGGGTAGGCACGATTTTGTTAGCTCGATTTAAAAATAAAGGCACAGACTTTCTGGTAGGAAAATGCAGAAAACTTAATTTGGTTGATTAAAGTAACAAGCTGTGATTGGGAGCCACAAACCAAGAAGGGCGATCAAACGTGGCCTCTGCTCGTCCACGTCTCTGGAAGAGAGCAACTAGTCTGTTTGCCTTTTCAGAAGCCATAAGAGAAAAGAACCCGATGGCTACAGAATCTGGTGTAAACGCTTGTTCCTTCTGTGACTGGACGGGGTGGAGGAATTGTTGCCCTGTTGCTAAGGACAAGGGAAGGGGCTGTTCCCAGTTGCCGTAGTGACAAGGTGAGAGCGTTCCCTCGGTACCGCCGCATGTTCACGAGGCAGTGTCTTCCTCTCGTTGCTATGGCGACCTAGCGGGACTGTTCTCGTCGCCAGCACCTCCCGTCGCAGTTGCTAAGAAGTGGTGGAGGTAGGGGCTGTCCTCCGCTCGCCACCCGGTTGCCTTGGAGACGGCGGGTGCGCTGGCCCCGCCCCGCTCGGACTGACAGCGGTGGCCGCATCGCGCCTGCGCAGTGCTCTCTTCCCCCGCAGTCTCTGTGCGTTGAAGCCGGAGACCGCGGCGGCCTCTGCTAGGACCCACCGCCCCAGAGCCGCCGGCCGGAGCCGCAGCCTCAGCCGCAGCGCCCCCGCCGCCCGTCCCCCTCCCCAGTTGCCTCCGCCGGAGCCGCCTCGCGCACTGTGAGTCCGGGCCGAGGCGACGGACGCCGTGGGGCTGAGTCAGCGGGAGGCCCGGGCCGGGCTGGGGGAGGGGAACCGGGCTCCCCATCCCCGCCGCCCCCGCCCCCACCCCCAGCCGCGTCTGCCCCGCCGGCCTCCTTCCCTCCGTCCCTGTCTCGGGGCTCCCAGCGGCCGGTAGACAGGCCTCCCCGCGCCACTCCTCCCATGCTCTCCTTCCTCCCTCCTTCCCTCCCTCCGAACCCACCTCGGGGTCCTTACCCCCTAGATGTGGCGCTGCCGCTTCTTTGCCCTGGCCTGATATTTCCCCTCAAAACTACCTCGCCTCGCTCCTGTCCCTCCTTCGTTCTCCTTACTCCTGGGCCTGACATCTCCTGGCCTCTCTGGTTTTCCCCAGTGATTTGCCAGAGAAAGAGTGACAAGGGAGAGAGCGAGGGGAGACTTGGGGGAGGGGGACATTCTGCCTGTCCAAACCTTGAGACCCCAGGGTTCAACCCACACGCTGCAGCCCTGGCTGGTTTGGGGAAGCAGATTTGGACAGTTCTAGCTGCTGAGAGCTTGTGGGGCTTTCAGAATAGGTTTCGCGATCAGGGTTCAGACCCTTCGTGATCGGCTACTGTTTAGTGAACACCGTTGCTGGAGCACGGTGGCCTCCCAGAGGGTTGAGTGACTGCCCTGGCCGCACTGTGCAGGGGAGTAGAGGTGGAAAAGGGAGGGGAGAAAAGGTTGCGTTTGGGAGCTCAAGTTCTTGTGCTTCCGGTGCGTCCTTGTGAATAACCATGTTGCAGTACTCTTTAAAATGCCTTTTTTAAAAAAAATCACCTTCGAATTAGTACAACGTGAGGTTTGGAAACAGTCCATAGCAAGTGTTTACTGTTTATATTAGGGGAATGGGTAGGACTTGATTTCTGATATTGTAAATTCCATGAAGTAACCAACTGGGTAATAGTGAGTTTTGACAGCATGATCTGAGTGGAGAGGAGGAGAATTGAGGTTTCTCCATGATGTAGGTCTGTTGCCTGTACCCCTGCCTCCTACAGCTGTGAGTCTTGCTAGGAGATGCCACCTGATAAGGTTTCTAGTTTGTTTGAACAATTTTGGGTCGTTTGCTACCCATCCACTTGCAGTCCTTGATCTTGGAACAGAGGAGAGCCCCAAATTGTTTTCTTTTTCCAGAAGCTGAGCTGAAGTCAGAGTTGGTGCTCACAGCCAGGAACTCTTAATAGACATGCCTCAACTTGAGGGCTCCTAACTACTGTGTGTACCTCATTGTCAACTTTCCTTTGATTCTTTTTTTTTCTTCCAGATTTCAGTGTAAGAAGAAAATACATGTAAACAAAAGCTAGTTCTACTTTACAAGAGGCTTGGGTTTTTTACTCCAGGCTGCAAAGGAGTGAGGTGATTCACTTCTAAAAATCCTAGTGAAGGAGTTTCTGGGGTTGCAAACAGTGAGAAATAATGATTTCACTCCTTGACTTTGCTCAATCATGGCCTATTGGCAGCCTTCTCAGAGCCACTCCCTGCCCCCATGCCCATCAGATTAGTTTACAGTAGCAAAGACGGCTGTCGCCCTAGTTTTAAACATAGAGATGAAATTCAGGAAAACTACAGCCCCCATCCAGCAGTGCAGTTTCTTCTGTTTCAAATGCCAGTCTGGGGTTTGGCGGGATGCACCTGCCTGTAGCGCAATGGGAGCTATGGGGCCTGAGAGTTAAATTCCTTCTTGTGGTCCTCTCTGTGTCACATAGCTCACCGAAATACCCGAGGAGGGCAGGAGAAGACAGCTGTGCTGTAGAGCTGCTCCTCCTGGGCTGAGTGTATTTTGGGAATCAGTGATATTACTGGGTTGGAGGGTTGTGAATTGAGCAAGAAAATGTGTCAAGGCTAGATAGATCAGGAGGGTGTGAGTAAAATGTTCCCTTTCCAGTTTGCTGTGGGATGGTACCTTTTCAGAGCATCAGAGTGGTTTTTATATGGGTTAATTTGCCTTTGAAATCCATACCTGTGTTTTATGAGATAATGATGGAATGCCTTTTAAACTACTTCTCTTAGGAAATAGGACTGACACCCCTCTTATATATTGCCTATTTAGCCATTATTAAAGGTAATTGTTCAATCAGGGAGAGGAACATGATTTGAATCAAGTTAAATCTAAATCTATATAATGGATGTTATGGTTTTGTAGGACTGCATTACCTTGATTCTAAGACACACCAGAAATTTACAACAACTTTTAGGTAAAATAATGCTACCAGATCAAAATTATATAGATTCCAAGGTGAATTTTAATTTCAGAAACATTAAAACAGCCAGAAGTGGCAATCCTTGAAGGAGTTATTTGTGTGTCTTAGAATTAGAAAGAATGGTGTAGTGCTGTAGGTACTGACATACCTTCTTGAGAGTGATGCTCACATGGCCTTCTGTCACTTTCTGTACCATTAGAGGTGTAGTTTGAATAGGTGACTTTGCTCAGAGGGCCTGTGAAGGCAGGTTTCTTCAAGTCCTTCCTCCAAACCCATCTGCTTTGTGGGGTTGTATTTGTAAGATGATCTGCTAGAGTTAGGCATGATAGTGGCTGTTGAACAGAGGGAAGTTCCCATATGGGAATCCAACCCAGGGCCTCAATATGGTACTTTCAAGAAACCAAGCAAGTAGTTGGTAGCAGACATCTTATGAGCTATACCTGAATTTAGCCAAGTTATATTTTTCAGAAACTGAACAGAAAATACAGTTTTTATGACCAGAATACATCTGCCCAGAATTGTTAAAAGACATATTTGTAAGGATTCTAAGGTACATATCCTCCTCTTAGGATGTTATAAATCTGAGGAGGGGATCTTAGATGGTATAGCTTATTGTTCTTATTTCCAGATTTTGACATGAGACACAAAGAGTTAAGTGTCTTTCCCTGAGGTCACCAAACTAATGTAGAAAGTATGTAAAGACACCTTGCCAACTTCATACACCATGCAAATGATTGTTGGTGGTTACTAGTGTCTGAGACAGAATTAGAGTCCAAATTTCTAGACTAGAGCTATTTTACAACACCACATTGCTTCATCTCTCATATTTAATAGTCCACAGGGTTTTAATAAAAATAATTTAGTAGTCTGTAATTAGCTGTGTAGTCTAGGGCTTGTTTTATTGTCTTAGATACTGCAAAGCCAGGCAAAATTTAGTCTCAAACTGTCTAATTAAATATTTATTCTCGCCACCTTAAAAATAATTATTTTTCCTCACACATTCCAACCTCAGAAAGGTTTTTTCTTTTTAAAATTTGCACCAACTAACAAAAAACAATGCAAAGTTGGGAATCTGAGTCTCAACTTCCTATCTGTGGGGCTGTGGCATTCCAGAGGGCCAGTGGAAAGGGACAGTGCTTGACAGGAGGAGCAAGCACCTTGGATGGCTGCAAGATTTTCTCCAGCTCCACCAGATGTAACCTTCTGTACTTCTTGGGGGCCATGAGGACTTTTAAGCCTATCCTTGGGGAAGTGAGGCAGTCTGGCCTCTGGAGCTGACAGACCTGAGTTCAAATCCCAGCCTTTTACTTCCTGCTGTGTGACATTGGGCAGGTTATATAAACTTTGAGTGCCTGGAATAATGACCATCTGTTTTACAGGATTATTTGGAGAATTAAGTGAATGGAAGTATATAGAATACTCACTTAATAAGAGATAGCAATCATTTTATATTTACCAAGATCTAAAGTTTTTTTTAAAATAATGCTTTCAAATTTTATCTTGACTTAAATGCATCCCCAGCCCTCAAATTCAGTAGCCTCCATTTCTCTGGAGCCCTCTTAGTGCATTTGACATGCACAGAGAGATTTGTCCTGTGAAGACTTGGCATTTGGAATATTATTTCTAACTGCCAAAATAGGAACAGCGTGTATATGAAATGCCCCTTTGTCTCCATGTATTCAGCTGACCTGCTTATCAGAAAGAATTGTGGAGCACGAGCAGTTGACTGTAGCAGAGGACAGACTTGGTGTGTTTTGTGTTGTGGGGGCCTTTAGTCCTTCAGTGGGGGAGGCCAGTGTGAGGCGTGATCTTAATTTGAAATGGAAAAGCTGCACAGTGCTTGCTGGTGAGGAAAGCTCCCATGGCCTTCAGTCACTTTCTCTACCATTAGAGATGTAGTTTGAATAGGTAGGTGACTTTGCTCAGATCAGCTCTGCACACGTGAGACGTAGAGGACAGGGAAAGGAACTACTTGTCTCAGGAGGAAACCTCCTTGCAAGTGAGCAGAGGCAAAGGGAGGTCATTTTGGATAGGAACAATTATAGAAAGACTGAAAGCAGAGACTAGTGAGTAAGAAGCCAGAGCAAGCCGTTCAGGTGGGGGAATTCCTAGGTACATTTCCTTAAGTGGGAGAATGCCATGGATAAGCATCAAGGATTGAAAAGATAAATTCAGCTATTTACCTCTGGGAAGTGGGATTTATGTGTGGGGAGGGAAAAGGAGAGTCAAGGGAAAATTTTGCTTTATATGCTTCAGTGCTTGACTTGTTAAACAGGATGCATGCATGCTTTGTAATTTAGTGAAGACCAAGTAGAGTTGGTGGTGGTAATTGTTCAGTAAATATATTTTGGTTCAAAATAAACAATTGCCTTTACTTGGCTCCTTCATCAGTGGAGCCCACGGGGTTAGACTGTTTCCTTCTGGCAGACCAAGCCAATGTCCACCAAACCAGGCTCTTAAGTGAAGGTAGGCTTCTCCAATGTGGCTGCTTCCTGGGCAGCCCAGAATAATTCTTGGACCACCACTTTTCCCAATCTTTTCATTCCATTTTTGAGAATAGTCTCCTCCTCTTGACCAACTGAAGCACATTACCTTTCTAATAACTATTTTTTTTAACTACTGAATAAAATATAATCTGGCCAGTTTGACCTTTATGAAAGATACGTGTCTCTAATTTATCATCAAGGGGGCTTAACCTTCCAGGGGACCCCTGGAGTGCTGGTGCCCTCTGTTACAGCTGTGGCCTAGAGCAGACCTGGC